GGGACATAGTAAGTAAGGCTATAAGTACCCTACTTGGGGTTATAATTATACCCTAGTTACTAAGTCCCGTGATCCTCCAAGTAAGGGGCAAAAGCAACGTAGCTATAGTTATAGGAATGTACAACTGGCCCAATGCAGGCGCGGTTAAGCTTGCTTATGAAATGCCCTGATCCTCCACATGTGAAGCAATCGAACTTGCCCCTCCCAGGGTGGTGGCACAGAAATTATCCTGGACCCCCCTCCCGTGCTGAACTAAGATAGCAGCTATTCACAAACATCCCCCGCTGGTTGTCTGTTCAGGCGATCTCGCGTCGCCATAATAGCAAGGACCCCTAGACCGTGAACCTTCATTTCGAGAACCCACCACAATAGTGTCAAGGGCTTCAGGCATAGGCTTTCGGAGTCCACATTTGGCATTTGGCGGAAAGCGAACAGACGCGTGGGCAGAAACTGAATTCGCGGACACCCTAAACCCTAAACCCTAAAACCGTAAAACCCTAAAACCCTAAACCCTGAACCCCTAAACCCTAAAACCCTAAACCCCAAACCCCTAAAGCCCTAAACCCTAACAAACTGCATTCGCGGACCCGGTCAAGGGCGGCACCTGCTCGGTGACAATGCCCTGGTCGTTCGAGCAGAAGTCCTCTGAAAGGTTTCGGGTGGTAAATTACAATAGGGGTTTTGGGGGGGTTCCTTTAAAGGGATCCTTAAAGGGTTCTATAAGGGCTACTATAAGGGTTTAGGGCTTAGGGTTTAGGGTGCCCTACTTGGAGGATCATGGGACTCAGCAACTAGGGTTACAAATAAGGTAACTATAATTATAACCCCAATTAGGGTACTTATAACCTTACTTACTAAGTCCCATGATCCTCCAAGTAGAGTGGTAGTTCTCTAAACTAGGGTAACTTTTGGAGTCCTTTTTATAAGGGTGCCGTAGTATATTGGGGACCTAAAGGGACCCTGGTTCAGAGAACTACTCACATGTAAGCTTAAGGCTTTCTTCTTTTTTCGGGGCCTTTTTCGTTGCTTGCGCTTAAACAGCCCATGGTGGGCAGGCTCCGTCTGACTACTTTTACTTCAGCTTAGGGTTTAGGGTTCAGGCTTTAGGGTTTTGGGGTGTAGGGCTTTAGGGTTTTGGGTTTAGGGTTGAGGATCCGGGTTTTGGGGGTTTGGGGTGTAGGGTTTTGGGGGTTTGGGGTGTAGGGTTTGGAGTTTAGGGGTTTAGGGTTTAGGGCAGCGGTTTAGCGTTTAGCAGGGAGGAATTGCACAGGGTTTTCAGTACTAGGATACCCACGATAAAACCGAGAACGCACACTTAGCGATGTTCACCAAGACTTTGCCTTACCCTAAACCCCAAACCGTGATATTGTCTCGATTGAAAAAACCCAACCCAATGCTCTGAGCATCTCTAAGCCCTAAACGGTGTTCAACCTGGCAATGTGGGCTGTAGGCATCTCTATACAAGCGTCACATTAAGAAAACAAAAAACAACAATATTGCGAATTGTTCAGGCCGCTATATAAAGTCCTAGAAATCAGATACAGCCCAGTATAATAACATTGCGAATTAGGAATTGCTCAGGCGCGGATATAAACCCTGAAAACAACCATCTACTAAAGCCCGACACAGCGTGGTAAGTAAAGGGGCTTTGCAAAGTTCCAGTGGGTTTCTTTAACCCAAAACGCTAAACCCTAATCCCTCAACTCTAAACATCTCTAAACCCTAAACCCTACTCCCTCAACCCTAACCTAAACCCTAAAATCCTAAAACCCTTACACCCTAAACCCTAAACAGCTCATCCGCAGCCGCCGTGGTTTCGGGTTTAGGACGCGTAGGGAATAATAGGGCTTAAGGTTTAGGGTTTATGGACTCGTCGTGCTTGCGGTTGGCATCCTACGGGGAGGATGGTGTGGTCAAGCTCATGAGTTTAGGGTTTAGGGTTCTGCTGCACGCCCTCCGGGAAGCTGTCGCCGTGCGCCTCGAAAAGCTGATAAAGCAAACGCAGCCTCTTCCAGCCGGCTGAGGCGTTCGTCTTGAGGCGGATGATCGTTTGCTGCCGTACCCCAAGACCCCCAAATCTTTTTTCCAATTTTTAAGGCCCCTGTCCCTTACTTTTCGAAAGTCCCACTCCGGTCCTCGACGACGACCAAGCCGCCCGGCTCCAGCACGCTTCTGGCCTCGGCGAGGACTGCGTCCAGGTCTGAGTGCACGTGGACCCAAGCCTGACGCTGCTCTGATGAGCCAGGGTGTTAAATAAAGGGATTGAACAGGGTGTGTATCAGGTTGCGTAGGGTTTCGTAAGGTTCTGTTTAACGAGAGTTTCACAAGGTTTTGCAAGGTTCTTGTCGAATGAGGCTTTATATGGGAATTTTATTGAGAGACGCCCTCCCTGATTTTCTGAAACGGGTTTGGGGTCATTGTCTCAAGGTTTCCTTGCTTGTGGTGTCATGACTGTGATCGTGACTGCTCTCGTCACTTGTCATGAGCAAACTCATCATCATGGATTCCACCATTGCCATGTGACGACTAGAGGAAATGCTATTGTTGCTCTTACTACTATATATGTTCATGATACTCGTGGTACTGACATCACCAAATTTGGGATTGCCATCATCAACAACACTGCTACAGCTACTGCTGCTGCTCCTGCTGCTACAGAGTAGCAGTAGCAGTAGTAGAATTACGGCAGCAGCAGTAGCGGTAGCAGTGGCAGTGGCAGTGGCAGTGGCAGTGGCAGTGGCAGTGGCAGTGGCAGTATAGCAGTAGCAGTAGCAGAAGGTGCAGCAGTAGCAGCAGGAGCACTATCAGTAGCAGTGGTAGTGGCAGTGGCAACTTGTAGTGGTAGTGTCAGTAGCAGAAAGTAGCAAAAGAAGTAGTAGTAGTAGTAGTAGTAGTAGTCGTCGTAGTGGTAGTGGTGCTAGTGGCTAGTGGTAGTGGTACTAATAGTAGTCGTCGTAGTAGTAGTAGTAGTAGTAGTAGAAGTAGTAGTAGTAGTA